AGGCATTTACAAGTTTGTCTATAAAATATTACAAATGAGATCAACTGCTCCCTTTCTTTTATGGTGATCTTCTATGAACCTTTATGTTGGCCTGCCAGGGTTTTAGGCAGAGAGGGTCTTTATATAACCTTCCCCCTGCTCTTTTAATTGGCAATGTCAAGGACTAAACCTAGGGCTTCTGTATGCTACTTTCCCCTTTCCCTTTCAGTTTCTCTATAAAAAACTGATTTTTTTCCTCAATGGTCATAGTAATGTCCCAAGCCACATTTCCTCCTGCTAGCAATCACAAGCATCAGGTTCTTTCTTTTGCAAGATGCTCTGTGTTGTTTCCAAACGTAAATCATCCAGACAAGTCTCTGAGCATGCACAAATTGATAGAACCCAATCTAGCAATTCCATCCCAAAACTCTCCTTATGAGCATTTTTGTGTCCCAACCCCTGGGAGAAGAGCATTGAAGAAGTGGGCATGCCTCTTTTCCACACACTTTCATCCATTCAGCTTTCCGCCTCTGCAGACACTTGGCCACGGGGGCTAGCTCCAAGGGGAGAGGCTCATCTGCATTTGAGGATTCCCCGACTCAGTGACCCCTCCTGCTAGCTGTATCTCCACGCTATTCCCAGGGTCTGTCTGGCCTGTCACTATGTCTGCCCTTGAGCTAATCACCTCCACTTCTTCCCCCTGTTAAGCAACCTCCTGCTCCTCAGACCACTGAAAAATTCATCTTATGAATCTGAATTAGCAAAAGTGGTGTAACTTGTGCTGTGGGAATGTTTGCAAAAGCCTACCAGCATGCTTGCTCTCAACAACTAACACAATATTTTAAGTCTTTCACAGTTCGTTAAGCAACAACTCGCATAGTGCTTTATATTGTTTGCAACCATTCTTAGCCTACTTTATCTAAAGAAATGTCTTCTCCTATACACTTCAGGTGGATTTACATGACACAACAAACCAAGGGGGTTTCTCACACAGGATGGACTGCAGTGTTGTTCAAGCCATATTTGACATTTCAGCATGGTTTAGGAACCACAATAAGAAATAATGTTCTAGTCTATAGTTTCCAGGCTTCACTATTGTTTTTCAGGTCATCTGAACCCAGCATGATGGTTTCCACAGTGCTACCATGGAGTCCCCTAAGAAGAGCGGTAGTTTTGCAGAAGCTGTTTCAGACATTCAACACTGAATTTAAGGCATAGCTGCTGATGGGATATGTGCCAACAGGAGGAGGACTGAGTGAGGAAGCCAGAAACCACAATAGCAAAGCTGCTTAATCATCTGTCAGGCACATCCTGGGAAAAATAAAACCACCTACATACCATGGAAACCACACAGGGCTGCTAGTTGTGCTGTGTGAACCCAGCCTTCTCACATGGTTGACATAGATGGGGAACCTGTTTCAACCTAGGGGCCAAGTTCAGTTTCAGAGCTCTTAGGAACCACATTCCAATGGATGGGCTGAAGGAAAAGCATTAGGAGCAAAAATACTAGCAAACTGTAGCTTGATTTTCTTACTGCCACTAAGCCTATGGAGAGGCAATTTAACCCTTTAGAGAGAAAAATGCACAAAAGCTGAGAGACCAGCAAAAGATTGGTGGTTGGGGGAAAAGGGTAGGGCTTTTTAACAACCCTGAAACTCTAGAGGCCTGTCTTAGGACCCCAGGAAGACTGAAATTGGGTCCTGGATCTCCTAAGGTTCTGTATTTCTGCTGCAAAATCTTCCAGAAAGGCCAATTAATAGTTTCCCCAACATGTGTGTTGAGGTGGGTGGAAACCATATAATAGTCTTTCTCTGTTGTGGCACTCATTATCTGGAACACTTTGCCTAGAGAGATCTGGGTGGCTACCTCCTTTTCCATATTTAGAAGCTTGACCAAGACCCCCTTTTCCACAAAAATGTTCATTATTGAATGGTTTAGTGGTGTTTATAGTATATTTGGCACAGTTGTCTTATTTTGTTTTGCCTATTAGATGTAGACTACCTATTAGTTTTTTACCTTGCTGAAAGCTGCTTTGTGGGTCATATTTGGCCAAGAAGGTTGAAATCATCCTCAGTCTGGGTGCTTCTGATCTATTACACAGTTTCTTTGTGTTGCATGGCTACCAGCTACCACAAGTGTGGAGAGCCAGTGTGGTGTAGTGGTTAAGAGCATGGGACTAGGACTCAGAGGATCTGGGTTCTAGTCCCTGCTCAGCCATGGAGCCAACTGGGTGACTTTGGGCCAGGCACAGACTCTCAGCCCAACCTACCTCACAGGGTTGTTGTTGTGGGGATAAGATGGAGTAGGAGATGTAAGCTGCCCTGAGCCCTTTGTAGGAAAAAGGTAGGATATAAATCACAATATAAATATAAATATAAATAAATGTTAACTTCAGAGGTGCATACATTTTTCTCTGTGCATGCTGAATTTGAATTGTTTATGTAACATCTTTGCTCTGAATCACTGAGCAAAGTGAATTAAAGAGCAAAAGACAACAGAAAATATATAGCAAAAATAATGAACAGGTAATAGGTTTGCATCCTCATCTGTCCCTTTTTATTGTTAACATCTCTATCCCCTCAGCCAGAAAACACTCCTTCACATTAATTATCCGAAGAACTGTAAAAATAGTACATTGGTTATTTGTTGAGTTGATTGGGGGCAAAACTACTACTTTGCAATCCTCATGTAAGAGATGAATTAGGGCAAATGCATGTTATCTGTTAAATATGTGTATAATAAATACACAGTAAACGTTGTTTATAGTAAACATAGTAAGCACAAGGGACCTTCTTACTTTATTAAAAACAAAGATAAACTGTGATGGTGCTTAGATATTATTAAAATGTTAGCAATTGCAAAGAACAGCACAAGCAGTAAATTAGAGAATCTGAGCTAGCAGTTTAGCTATGGTATGTGAACAGCACTTTGTTCAGAGATACTGCAGCCGATAATTATTTATGATAAAGGAACTGATATGGTCACTCTTTTGCAACCAGGATAGATAGATCTGTCCCCAAACCTGTGAGGTGGTGTGGAATACAAGGTTTCTAGAAATCTCATCTTTCAGCAGAGTGTCAGTTTCAGGCTTATCTCCAGGCGTGGGCCCAAGGCAACATTTAGAAGAACTGGATGGCTTTTAAAATTATGAATATATAGTGGAGAAAATCCTTCTATCTGAATGTATGATCTCCACGATTTGCTCAAAAGATTATTCTGCCTGTTGGCTCTATCGAGAAATCTAGACTAAGATCTCAGAATATTCTCTGGACAAATTGCATGGATAAAGCATTTACAGGAAACAATTTCACATGTATGCATCTGTGGGAGTCATCCAAGCTGACATCCCGTGGATGCAAAATGTTCTGGAAGAATGGGCCTTGACTAAAACTGTTCAGGGGCAGCAAGAAAGGACTTCAGAATTTCAGGTCAAACATGTCACATGGAAGATCTGTGACTAGCTAGCAGGATATTTTTGCTTTTATCTTTGCTTTTAAGCAGTTGTGGGAAAGTAGGGTGTCCAAATGTAAACTGGGAATGGCCTTTTTCCTGCACCATTTCCCTGATTTAAATCTCACTTCTGAGATGCCTTTAATTCTTGGTAACAAGACTGAGCTCTTGAGTCCAATCATTTCTCGCTCTCTCTCTTTTGCATTATCTGTACAGCAGAAATGGCAATTTGGTGGCTGGCTGAGGTTTTGGACTACAAATCCCATAATTCTCAATCATTATGCATGCTAGCTAGGGGATAGGGAACCTATACAAATCATTTTTGGGTCCCAGGCTGCCTATGCCCTAGTGTACAGGTTGATGTTGTTAACTGAACATGTAAATCTTATAGGAGTATTTCTATGCTCTTAACCTGTTTTAATTTCCAGGATATCTCTGATTACCTAAGAACTAGATTACCAACAATATAGGTAGAATTTTAAAATTCTGAATCGTTTTCTATTTGGGGGCAGAGATACACTGGAATGAGTGGGATGGTGTAGATTGGTATCCTGCAATAGCAGGGGATTGGACCTGATGGCCTTCTTGGCTGCTAACAACTCTTCTATGATGCTGTGCAAAATGCATCTGGGTTGTAGGAAAAATAAGTATTTGGAAGTGTTTTCTTTTGTTGAGAGTCTTTGGCAGAAAATGCCACCGGCCCCTATGGAATTAGCCTAGATTATTTGACTTGCAGAGTACACTGCAATAAAATGAGTCCTTTGTATCTACATTCCTCTGGCAAGATAAGAGGCATACCCCTCTGCAACGTTTGGGTTTAAAGGTTTTTCAACTTGGAGCGTGGATTTTTTGACCAGGTAAAAGTCCAGCCCTGCCAGAGCTTCTTCCATCATCTGAAGCTCCACTTTGTCCAAGTGCCTTTGAGCACGTGCAGAGGGTCTTCCGATCCCCCCCCACAACAGCTGCGACTGGGGAAAGGTTTCTAAAGGAGAGGGTGTGGTACCCAAGCAAGGCTTGAGCTCCCCTCCTCCTCTCCCTGACGGAATTAACCTCTGAAATACAAAGGATGTGGAAGCCGGGGGCCATAAGCTGGTGGGATGCTGGTGCTTCTTGAACGTGCAAGCGACTGCCTCGCATGCCCCAAATAAAGCCCCCTCCCCGCCTCCTCCGCGCACGGGCATATGCTGAGCGGGCGAGCGAGCAGCCGCAGTCACAGCAGCAGCCCCGCATGGATTAAGTTATATAAGCCTCCTCCCCCTCCCCGCTTTTCGAAAGGCGCGGAGGGGGAGTCGCCTCCCGCTCGGCCCCTCCTTCCCTCTCCCCTCGCCCGGCTTCGGCTGTGGCTCAGGTTGATGGGGAGCGGACGGCGGGGCCCTGGCGCAGGCCCAGGCCCAGGCCCCGGGCTGAGGAAAGCCGCTTAGCCCTGCCTCGGTTGCCATGGTGACGAGCAGGCGGCTGCGAGGCTGTCAGTGAACAGGCGAGCCGAGCGAGCGACGGAAATCAGGAGCAGGCGTCCGCGGGGGCTGCAGGAGGGGAAGGCGGCAGGCGCTGCCGCCGCCGCCGCCGCCGCCGCCATGGACGTGCACTGCGAATGTGCGGAGCCCACCGCGGTGGGCGAGCAGCCGCCGCCCTCGGGCAAGCTCAACAAAACTGCCTTCAAGCTGTTCAAGCGGAGGAAATCCGGGGGCGCCATGCCAAGCATCTTCGGCGTGAGGAGCAGCAGCAAAGGCAAAAGCGGCGAAGGGGGCGGCGGGCAGGCGGCGGGCATGGTGCGGAGCAAGACCCACGACGGGCTGGCCGAGGTGGTGCTGGAGAGCGGCAAGAAGGAGGAACCTGGCGGCGGCGGCGGCGTGGACGAACAGTTCGGAGGCGGCGGGGCCAAGGAGTCCCCGTCGTCCTGCTCCCCCTCGGCGGCCGCGGCGGCGGTGGGCAAGTCACACAGCTTCTTTTCGCTGCTGCGCAAAAACGGCCGCGCGAGCGAAGGCGGCAAAGGCGAGAGGCCGAAAGGGCGCGGTGGGCTCAAGGGGCTCTTCAGCAGCATGAGGTGGCACCGGAGGGACAAGCCGGGCGGCGGCGGCGCGGGCGGCGGCGGAGCTAAGGAAGACGAGGGCGCCGAGGGCCAGCCCAGCCTCCTCATGCCTGGGTCCCTGACCGCCAGCCTGGAGTGCATCAAGGAAGAGGCGCCGCGCTGCCCGCTGGCCGACCAAGCCGCTCAGGAGCCCCCAGGGCCGGCCAGCGCCGACCCGCAGCTAGCGCCCCCGCAGGCCGCTGAGGCGGTGCTCCCCCGAGACGAGCAAGAGGTTGAGCCGCAGCCTGCGCCACGCACCCCGCGGGGAGAGGATCCTCCCGGAATCCAGCCCCAAGCGAAGGAGAGCCACCCCGAGCCCGCGGAGGGTGACCGCCAAGGGACAAAGGAGGACTCAGCCATAACAGGTGACATCCCCATCGAGCCTCCCCCCCCTGTTGCACCTGAGTGTGAACGCGGCCAAGAGACGGTGGCGGCTGCCCCTGACCCTTCCTCTCTTGATCCGCCCTCTGAGCCATCCATTGACCGTATTTGTTTGATGTTTGCTGACGTGACTTCATTGAAAAGCTTTGACTCTCTTACAGGATGTGGGGACATTATTGCGGACCCGGAGGATGACGTGGGCAGCGGCGGTGGCAGTGGTGGAGGTGGCAGTGACAAGAGTGCCGCTGGGGTCAGCAAAATGGGGGCCTCCAAAAAGCCTCCCAGCGTGGTGGCTTACCAAGGAGGAGGAGAGGAGATGGCCAGCCCTGAGCAGGTGGGGGACACCTGCACTCCTGAGTTTTGGGATATGTTGTCACAAACGGAGGAGAAGTCACAGGAAATACCAGGGGGAACAGAATCCTCAGAGGCTTCCAAAGATGGTAGCTGTGCCAGAAGGGTTCAGGATGGGCCAACAGCTGGGAAGCATGTTGGCCTCAACCAGATTCCAGTTCATCACAACCATAAAGAAGACCAGAAAAGTAGGGAAAAGGAGCAACAGGAAGCTGTTCCCAGCAGTGATGAGGGCTATTGGGATTCTACCACACCTGGACCTGAGGAGGACAATACCAGCAATATCCAGAAAGAGGTAATTCCAAGGGACAGCTACAGTGGGGATGCACTCTATGATCTGTATGCTGATCCTGATGAAAACACAGCCACAGTGACTTCTGCAGAAGAAGTCACCTCAGTGATTTGTTGCAAGCCACTCTCTCCAGTAACAACGACATGTCCAGTCAAAACCCATACAACTTCACTCAAGGACTCCAAGATACCCATCAGTATCAAGCATTTTACATCACCGCATGGCAGCCATGGCCCAGATACCAGTAACAGCCATCACATCATACACCATCAGCCTACCAAAAGCGAGATCCCTAGAACAAAAATCCCAGTTTCTAAAGTGCTTGTTCACCGGGCCAGTTACCGGAGCTTAGCAGGGACAACAGGTAAAGCAGCCACATATCATGAAAGTGCCAAAAAATAGAAGGGGATAAAGATGGCATGCCGGCCTTTACAAGAACCCACTAATACGTTGTTTGGCATCACCTAAAGGAAGTCACCTATATGTGTAAGGGACATAGGCATCTGAATTCTATCTTGATATAATTGTGTGTGTTGTTTGCTTGTGTATATATATGTATATGTGTATATATATATAGTTAAATTCTTTTTGAGCACTTTTTTAACATTTGTATCTGCTTTTCTGAAGCACTAAAACACTCGGGAGGCCACTTTTCCATGCCTTTTGTGGAAACAGGATTTTGATTAGGAATATAATAATGCAAACTTGTGCCATGACTTCTTCAAAGAGGACAGAGCTGTGAGAGAGAAAGGACCAAAAGAAGTTTTCAAGTATATAAAGGTTTTTGTTTAAAATGTTTTAGGCTATACTGAAAAATGATGTATGTTGTAATATTTTGGAAAAAAATATCAAGCAAAATAACAACAAACAACAGCAGTAAAACTTCAGGTACTTAACCTGGGATAACAAGCACTGTTAGTTAGCAGCAGATTCAGCTCACTTGTCAAAGGCAGCTGATGGACAAGTTAGATGGATTTCTATAATATGAAGAGATATTTTTGTTTGTCTGTTAGTTTTGGCTCTGTAAGTGGGTAATGTTTACACCAATATTTTTCCGATGCATAAAATAATCAGGTTAAAGGGAATAATTTTCCTAAATGCCAATATAGAGACAACTACAACATTTATACAATAAACTGTTATTCATGTATAAATAGATGCATATGTTACGCTTAGTGCTACAGTTTTTTTAACTTATTATTTTTTCTGTACTTAACTAGAATCGAAGCAAAATTAGTTTTTATAGTGTGGTAATTTTACAGTTCTAAATGTATGGGCATTCTTAAAAGTATAGTAAACTAGAGCCAAATTTTATATGGGCTCTTAACTCCCTGTGAAAAACAACTCTAGTGTTAATCTTATGAAAGTAATGAATGCAAAATAACAGAGCCAAGGTTCTAATGCTGTTTCCTTTGTTTTTTGAAACCCCCCCTTTTTTTTCAGGAATTTATAAAAAGGAACTGCACTTCACTTTTTACAAACCAACAGTCAGAGGCTGAAAACACAGTTTTAAAAAGTTATATTCAAAAGATGATACATTTAATTTAGGGTATTTAAAAAGTATCATTCCCTCTCCCCCAAGTTGTAGGCTTAAATATCATTTTACTTTAATAAAAACAGGGAGATTGACAGTTAATCCATTACATGGTTTATCATCTTGGACCCAGCATATATGATGATGGCCACTGCATATAAACATAGCTTAATGAAAAGTAGTTACTGTATTGATTTATTTTCAATTAAGCTGCATCACATGATGTGCCCAAAGACCAATTTATATGGCAGATTGAAACAGGACAACACTGCTTTTAAAAAATAAAAATAGAACAACACTGGGGTACAGTTTCAATGCATTTGGAAAATAATGTGTTTTTTAAAAAATCAAACATATTTAAAAACATTTTACAACCAAGAAAATCTGACATTTATTTGTTTGAGTCAATTAGATTCACCCTAATGAAGTGTTTGTTTAACCTTTGCTTTTATTTGACTCTTAAGTGTAGGTATACATATAAATAAGAGCATTAGAGCTCGAAACTAAGAAAGAAAAGCTAGAAAATCTTAGGACTGTGATCTTGCCCCCCAAAATGGCTTTTAAGCAGCCTTTCTATAAGCTATAGAAAAGATCAAGAACCAGGTTGTTTATTTACCAAGGCTAAAATGCTAATTTAAGCCAGCAAAGGCTTGGTCATGCTGAATGTCCTCCTTAAACTGTGAACAGCTGACTCCATGTGCTGTCAACAAACTGCTTTTTAACATACCTGCAGTTGCATTAGTAGTTTGCCTTTTAATAAGGGTGGGATTGGTGGGAAACACAACCCTCTATCCCACAACACGCATCTGGAATTTGTTAAGCAGGTTTTTGGATCACAGCCAAGTTTGCTACTCAGCTGGTGGGGTAGTCATGGTCAAAACTAGTTTGTAATACGCCTGGTCAACCAAAAGTTTACTACACTAAATCAAACCCCTCTCAAGAGCATAGGCAAATCTGTGGATCCTAGTCAATAATGTATCTGATTTGCAACTGCACAGATAGAGTTTATGATCCTCAAACCACTTAATCCTTGAGGACAGTTGGAATATTGCTTTTAATGTTTTGTAGATTACATGCAACATGAGGTGGGTCATGTCTTCCATTATTCCAGGGGAGGGAGGCAAGAATCAATCAAATCGTAGCCTTTCACTTCATATTTTGTTGCTGTGTGTTAAAGCCTGAAAGCTGAGTTCTGAGCATGCATAATTGGCAATAATTTCTGTTGTAATTAATGGATCTCCCAAGAAAACACTTGTTTAGAATCAAGAGTGCTACTATACCTATCCAGGTGGATTATTTTGTATACTTTCTTAGAATGTATTTGTGGGTGGATACAAGCGCATCCTTTCACACATACATATTGTACATATGCATGTATATTTTTATGGACACACACTGTACATGCACATATTTCAATAATATGCTAAAGGGCACATATGCTTCCATGCACAGTCCAAGTATACCATGCACAGTCCAAGTATACCCTTCAAATCTTGTCAAATTGTTTTGACGGTTACTAATATCTGCCTGAGAAAATGACTCGCATTTGAACTGATTGTGTTTGACTTTTTTCTTTTTTTTTAGGATCTAGGACACAGGGCAAGATTAGCTTACCCTCGTGTAGTTCTGAAACTTCACCAGAATTGTTTTCCTTTGTAGCTCTAATATTCTGGAAGGGAAAAATGCAGACAGCACGGAATTTTAATCCTAATCTTAAAACAAACAACAATTCTATATTTTACATCGGTGAAGGTCATGCTTTCCTTTGCATATGATTTATGTTAAACTATCAAATGTTGCTTGTCTGTGTTAAAGGCACAATCATGTAAGAAAGTGGTTCAGGAAGTTGAAAGTTGAGCTGGAAAGTGGATGTTGTGATATGTAGCAGTTAGAGTGTAGTCCTATACATCTTGAAACAGAAAAAGGTCCTATAACTTCCAGCATCCCTCTAATCGGCCATACTGGTCAGGGCATACTGGTTATTGTAAGACTCCTTTTCTGTCTTAACATACATAGGATTATACCCATAGAGGTTGAAACAGAGGTGTATCATTTAAAACAAAGACATTATTTTGTCATTTGAGAATCCTTACTTTTCTTGCTTTTTCACCATATACATTTTGCTTATCTGTAGCTTGCATGTATGAAGAAACACTAGAGATAGCCATAGATAAAGTTCCCCTCACATTTATGAGTTATGATGCCTTTCTTTCATTTTCTTACATTTTCATTTTCCATGTTCCATCTTCTGAAAGTCTAAGTTGTTATATTCTCAAGAATTTTTTCAGAGTTAACAGAAGTAGTGTCAGATGCTGTCAGTGTCTTCAGGGGTTATTAACAACATTTATATCAAATAAATGGAAGTGGCACCATGAACACAACCAGCTAACATTAACATTCTGTCTTTGTAAGGACACATATACATTGGCCTCTGCTTAACACACTGATGATGTACCAATGATAGCAGTTTAGTAATGTTCAGTGGAGTTAAACCTTCCCTACTTGCTCCATTGGAAGTGTATTCATGACAGTAAAGGGGGGAAAATGCAAAGGTTGCTATTCCCTGACTTACCTGGCACCTGACTGGCAGGTCTTAAGAGGCTTTAAGAAAGGAAGGAATGAGTGTGTAGCTACTGGTTGGTACAAGTCAGCATGGTGGCAGTTCTATCTCATAGTGATGTTTCTAAGTTGATGACAATCATATCTTGAAAAGAAGACGGAAAAGATAACTTGAAGCAGAGTGTTTGTGCATTTTAGCACAATAACAAAGGAGATTGGCAGGTTTATTTAATAGGTCAAGGGCTGTGTAGACACAGGGATGGCTCCACATTTTAAATTCACAGAAAAGTCTCATGAGTGCAGTATCTGTATGAGATTGTGTTCACAGGGCATCTGTGTGAGTACAGATGGGTTTTGTGAGAATAAGTTTCACGCACACCCTTCTCTGCCGCAGCCACAGATATGTGTTGCCAGAGTTCAAATCCAAGGCACTTTCTGGAGCCAGGAATATGTGAAACTCTGTTCTCACAAAATACTTCAGCCTGAAAGGAAGCAATGGAAAGTGCGTACCAGACTTGCAAAATACAGCATGTGGAAATGCCACATTACTCTGGTTTCATGAGTACTAAATGTATCAGTGCTGACTTTGAAAAAGACATTTGTCCATTTACCCACATTCCAGTCTTTCATTGTATGCTCACAATTTGCCATGCCCCCATCAGCACAGTTACGTTCCACCCATGTGCTGCTACAAACAGTGTCTTAAGAGTTGGTCCTTAACTAATTGTAAAACTTAATTTCATACAGTGCAATTGTATGCCTGTTTACTCAGAAGTAAGTCCTACTGTTTAGTGGTCTTTTTTCCAGGCAGGTGTGCATTAGATTGCAGCCTTAAATGGCTAACAATTTTGAAATGTTTAATTCTGCAACTTATAAACTGTAACTAATTTTTGCCAGGATGCTTTTATTTTTAATAATAAGATTATATTTGTATTGTAGAACTATAAACAGTGCCTAGGACACTGCACTGGAAGAGATGTTCGGCAACATTAGATGTATTTCATTTCCTTCTGTTACCCGTAGAGCACTCTGTTAGGTTAATGATTGAGAGAAATGGTGAAGTGCTGGAATTAAAGGAATGAAACATTAAGAGATTATCATCCTGGAGGCATTCTTTAGAGCTGTGCAGTTTAATCACAGAAATTCCTGTATTTCTACAGCCTTCATAGGCAGAAATGATCTTCCAGGTCCCAAAGATGCTGTATTCTTTAATAACAATGTCATTATTTTTATTCTTTAAAGATGGCTTTATCTTAGTAAAATTTTACTAGGGATGATGCTTATACAACTGTTATTCTGTACATAATAT